GGGGGGGGGGGGGGGGGGGGGACATTCAACTGACCCCGAAGGAAGGACAGGCCCACTGCAGAGGCCAACCCACCAGCCTCACACACACACGGCATGTCTGGGGCATCTGAGAACCGTGTCTTCATTAAAGCAGTGAGTACTTGGTTTGTCTTTTGATGGCAAGGTCTTATCATTTTAGTACCATCAATTAATCTTCAAATGTTAACATCCAGGGACACATAACATTATCTTGTATAGCCAATTAAAATTTCAACTTTTCAAAAATCTTGTTTCATGAAGCTATCTAAATAAGAAACACTATTTCTCAGTAAATGTTAGGTCATTCAATTTACTACAAACCAAAGTGCCTTAGCGATTAAACTGCTTAAGTGGAATGAGGTTTCGGTTGCTGGGATTAGAGTTGGACTCCTGAATGCTGGGGGCCCCCTCACCAGCTCAGGTCCCTGGGTTATTTTAGGCTGGATGCTCCCCAAGCTCCACTTCTTAGAGGGATAAATGCATTACCTGCTGTGGCCCTGGGAACAGCTGACAAGGCACTTTCACATTGTCACTAAGCCCAGATCACCTCTCAACCCATGAAAAGAAAAACACTTCAACCGAATTTTCATTCTTTTCATTTACATTTACATTTAAATATAAACGTATATTTACATTTCAATCTTCAAGGATGGATAAAGAATCATCAGAGTGTTTTTCACACTAGGGATGACCCCTCAATTGTAGGCCATGAACTCAATTTAGCGAATTTTCTGAAAAATGAAACAAGGAAGAAAACAAGTCTCTCAGGGGTTCATGACACTCTTATGATACTTTTGCTTTGTTCAATAAATGTGCGCATGCACTAGTGGGTCTCTGGTCACAGCAGAAATGCTAAAGGCCTCTGCCCAGGCCCAACATCCTCTCTTCATTTCGGCTGATGACCCTGGGGGGCAGACTGCAGACTGAAATTACAGCTCTGTGCTGGGCTCCTCACACACCACCCACAGGCACAGGAGCAGCTCCTAAAAGCCCTGTAAGCAGGACATCAAACGTCTCACGAGCCCACGCTTCTCTTTGAGAGTCCTGTGACTGCATGAGGCACTGATCTTGGCCCCACAGTAGATGACCGTCACTGTGGTCCCTTACTACAGCTATCACTCCAGTCAGGAGCAAACTACTCAAGTACAGATGCTCCTCAACTTCGGATGTGTTATGTCCTCATCATAAGCTGAAAATACCCTGAGTCAAAATGCGTTTAACACACTTAACCTACTGCACACCACAGCTGAGCCCGGGCCACCTCGAAGGTGCTCAGAGCACTCACGCCAGCCTGCAGTTGGGCAGAACGCCTGTTTTATAACAGTATGCTGAGTATCTCATGTAATTTACTGAATACTGTATTGAAAGTGAGAAGCAGAACCGTCGTATGGCTACTTGAAGTACCGTGTGTACCAAATGTGTAACGCTTCCACATCACCATGAAGTCGAACCATAGTAAATTGGGACCGTCTGTACTCTGGAGAAGAACAGAAAGCCAGAGAGCAGGTACACAGCACATGCTCAATGGTGCTCCTAACTAGAACAATCTTTCCTGGATGGCAGGATTCAGCACAGCCTGTGGGCACCGAGACGCACTCAGGGAAGCAACTGCTACAAAGGCGAGTCTACCAGACGCTCTTCCGTGAGGTCGAACCATAGTAAATTGGGACCGTCTGTACTCTGGAGAAGAACAGAAAGCCAGAGAGCAGGTACACAGCACGTGCTCAATGGTGCTCCTAACTAGAACAATCTTTCCTGGATGGCAGGATTCAGCACAGCCTGCGGGCACCGAGACGCACTCAGGGAAGCAACTGCTACAAAGGCGAGTCTACCAGACGCTCTTCTTACTGTCCTGTTTGAGGATTTCACACGCCAGTCTTTGTAGACGACGGGGCAAGTGCCTTTCCCACACAGCGATCCCGCCTCGCCCCCAGCTCCATGTGCCTCCGGCCACTGGCCGTGCCTGCCCTCACACCTCTCATCTGCTGCTCCTCGTCCCGTCGGACACACATGGAGATGCCACAGGAGCTCGTTAGCACAGCAAGCAAAGTAAGAGCCAGCATCCGACGGCCTGGGCAAGTTCTCCCAGAAACACAACCTAGAAGCTTCCCTGCCTGACTGGCTCCAGTGTGCGTGCCCCTCTTGGTGGGTCTGATGGCTGTGAGCTGAGCCGAGCACAGGCAAGCAGTGCAAGCACAGGACGTTTTCTACCCCCCTCTTACACACACAGAGGCGGCCACTCAGCATTACTGATTCTTTGCACTACCCACCACAAGCGATGGCAGAGCAACAGACACAGCAGTGAACCGAAGCCAGGGGAGGGCATGTGAGGCAAGGACCAAGGAGAAAAACAGAGACCGACTAAGGCAAAGGCAGAGATGGCCTGAGGAAGAGGAGAAAGCGAGCTGGGAACGGAGCTGAGGGCTCAGGCCTCAGGAAGGTGGAAAGTAAACAAGAGTTCAAAAGCAGCAGCCACATCAGCCAGAGGGGCTGGAGCAGATGACCCCGGGAGGGGCAGATGCCGCAGCACCCCAGGAGTGCTGCTGGAACTGGAGACAGGGGTCCCACACCGGCTGGCTGGCTTCCATCTGCACCTGAAGTTCAAAAGACGGAAGAGCCCCACGAGCAGGCCCACCTGCTCCTCAAATTTAATGACCGCTTCTCTGGGAGGATGGAAGCACTAGTGTCCACCCTCACGTCACCCCCAGCCCCTCAGACATGAGTCAGTCTCTTCTGACATCACTGTCAGGATCAGAGCTGCTGTCAGAGAACACGCACAATGTGGCTTCAACCCAGGTCTCCTGACCCCAAGCTCCTGCAGTTCCCACAACATACCCTGGCCAGTGAAAGACCTGAGTATCCGACCACGGAGGACCTGGCAGGACCCCCACCTTGCCTAGCACTGTCGCCCCAGGAGCCAACCTCACTGGCTTTGAAGCAACCCTGGTGTTTTAGGCACCCCTTCCTTAGTCTACTCTCAGGACACAGTTTTTCACCTTAACTTCACACACACTAAAAAGTAGAATTAAAATCATCTCAGTGTATACACTGTGTGATTCCACTTATATAAAGAATCAAAAAAAACAGACAGAAGTAAACCACAAAGTCTACAGAGGTATAGTCCGGTGGTAAAACTACAAAGGAAAGGTAGGTTTTACCATAAAATTCTCCTTTTGGGGAAAAAGGGTTGCAGTTGGGAGAGAGATGGGGGAGGAGGACTGCCCCACACTGTCTGCCACCTGGGGTCCTCACAAAGCCTACTGTTCTGTGTGCTTTTTTCTGTGTGTTAGATTTTGCACTATGACAGGCTTACAAAAATCTTAATGCTTCAAGACTCTTCTATAGTGCACCAAGGCGACATTCTCAGAATCTGACCTCAGAAAGCACCCAGCCCAGTGATCAGTGAACATCACAGGTCTTGTGACTGCCCGCAGGTTACACTGTCACTCACATGTAAGGCTTAAGCCTCCTCTCTCATGTCAGAATCAACTGGTCTGTTTTTTTAAACCTTTAGTATAGAAAAAGGTTTAACAGACATTTGCAATTTATCAACTTAAATTCACATCAATGGGATTTTGCAAAGCATAAAACAGCAATTACTAGCTGCACCCAAAACAATTTAAGCCAGTAATCTTTCAGATTGATCAAGTTTAAAATGCAACAATAAAATAATCCTGTTAATTTTCCTCCCACCTATTTATAATGGCAATAAAAATGAAACTGTTGGGGCCGGCCTGTGGCTCACTTGGGAGAGTGTGGTGCTGATAACACCAAGGCCACGGGTTCGGATCTCGTATAGGGATGGCTGGTTTGCTCACTGC